CGCTGGCGCCACCCCTGGGATGGTGAGTAGAACGTTATTGCGGGAGATACCAAGAGAAATGTTGCATTGTCGACGGGAAGGGAGGTGGTGGTGGAGAGGATTGTTTTAATTCTGGGCGATCTTTCCGAGGCTGCAGAGGGTGTAGAATGTTTGTCGGGTTTCAAAAGTCGGGATATTAAACTGATTAAATATGGTATGATACTTAGAATGTGATATTTGCCAAACCATATATTTAAGACCTTTGAATTTGTGAGGGACAAACTTAAGACCGTTTTCGAGAGACCAGGATTGAAAGGAAGTTATACCATCACATTATTATCTTCATTAGTATCATAATAATAATCAGCATCATCGATCTTCTTCATTATGATGGTGATCATCATCATCATCATTATTAATCATTGTTAATTTCCTATTGTAACCATGATTATTGTTTATATTTTCATTTTATTATTATTATTATTATTATTATTATTATTATTATTATTGTTATCGTTATTATTATTATTATTATCATCATCATCATCATATTTATAGGCCTCCTATTACTGTATTTGTTTATTAATTGATTTTAAATGTTGTTATTGTATTAATTTCCATATAGTTATACTACATTCCCCAAACTGACATGGACGAGCCAATGCAATTCAACCCGAAAGCCGAAAGCCATCGAATTTTCCTTGGTGATTATTTCCCGAAATCCAGTTTAGGAAGAATTTAACGTCACCGTTCTTGTGTTATTAGCGTCTTCACGCTGGTGCTTGTAAATTGGGTTCGGTTTTCATCCCAAAACAGTGTTATGAATCCTCCAATCTAAGCTATTGTTATTTAGTGCAGTGGTATAGCCCGAGGCGTGATTTGCCATAGCGCCTTTCCTCCGCATAAATACAATACGCATGAAGCAGGTTAATCTAATCTGTATGAGGACCTTTCAACGCTGTAATAATATTGCGCTTTTAGAATTCCAGAGATCATAAGAGCGAAAAAAACCATAATGCAAATTGTTGTAGACACACACACAGCTATACATAGATATATACCGGTGTATATATATATATATATATATATATATATATATATATATATATATATATATAATATGTATGTATGTATGTGTATATATATATATATATGTATGTATGTATGTATAAATTCGAGCAATATTTCTTTACCATTATTTAATAGGCCTATATAGTTAAGTAGGGCTATGTTCGATACAATTATAAAATAATTTTTTCCTATAGACCTATTTCAATACCGTACTTTATTTATTGACACTTCACCTTTAGAATGGTGGCACACACAACTTGTGTGGTGCGGTCGGATAACAAAGCAAAACCAAATACATACACAAACACGTGCACACCAATAATAATAATAATAATAATAATAATAATAATAATAATAATAATAATAATAATAATAATAATAATAATAATAATAATAAATCTGGAGATACGGCTAGAAATAAAAACTGTCGTATATTGTATATGATATTGAAGGAAGTTAGCCGTTAACACTGCTGAATAAATATAATATAAATCATCATTTTATATATATACATATATAAAATATACACATATACTACTACTACTATTATTATTATTATTATTATTATTATTATTATTATTATTATTATTATTATTATTATTATTATTATTATTATTGGTGTGTGCGTGAGATTAAGAAAACAACACAGGCCTACTGTGAATATAACACACTCTTATAGAAAATTACCAGTCACGAATGTACTATTTAACTAGGTGTGAAAGTGTGGAATAATGATGTCACATTATGTGCACACTTTCGTGTGTTAACCTTGTGTACACATGAATTCCGCTCTAGTCAATAGTCAGCACTGCACACATATGTGCCAGTCTTTCACTGTGTCACGGCTCTGTGTAAACACTTTGTGACGTTTTCCAAAGGGACTTCTCGGACTATTATTAGGCCTATAATAGTCCGAGATACGGAACGGTAAAATAGAGCGGGACTTGCACAATCAGGTGTTTAGGTGTTGTTAAACGACGAACGATACGTAAGCCCTATAAAAGCCAGTCATCCTTATACAGGGGACACCTTCGGACTGGACTACAAAAATGTTTCACATTTGGAGTGTAAAATATCGTGAAATTGATAGGTGCTACCAAACGACGAACAAATTATGTAATTGCACGGTCGGGGATTGTGTCAACGCTATATTAAAGTTAGTCAACTTTCAAATAAAAGAAAACCTTCACTAGCTACAAAACGTTAATATATATTTGTTTTTGCCGCACACTCATACAACATGAAAACAACCTAATTTTAGCTTAATAGTTTTAATGACATGAGTTACAATAGCATACAGCCTACAGCATCGTGCAGTGCGTTACAACCAGCCTGATGCAAACGCAAGCGGCTTGACGCAAAGTTGCAAGCAGGATCCGGATCCTGCTATTACCGTTAGCAGCCGTGAAAGAACATAGCCATGCTAGGGCTCTCGTGAGAACCAGACTTAATAGTAGTTTAAAGTGCTGCGTCGTCTCCAATCTTCCGTCAGGCGGGGCGTTTAGTGCCAAGATTTAAAAAGAAAGTAGGATGTATTTGTCGATTATTCTTGTTTATCCGATTTGTTGTGGAATAGCATTGTTATTGTGAAAAAGAATCTATGCTATGTAAATGATAATTTCTGTGCCATAGGATTCAATTAGGTCTATCGAGTTATGGGGCTGGCTGTACTTGACGAGGGATGAAACTAGTGTAGCAGAGTCGCTAGGGTAGTAACGCCCACCCCTCCTTCTGCTAGCCTAGGCTAGTCTTGAAAGTTGTATGTTCATCACCATCTCAATGGTTGTCATGCCCGTGCTTCACAACTTTACAATTTATTTATGTGGCGAGTCTTTATGTTAAATGAATGTCACAAATCAAATATTTTAAAAATCCGAATCTACACTATTATGATGATGATAGCCGGCCGGTCGGCCATGGATGGGCCTAGTTCCGTGCGCTCAACCTGACAGATGTACACGCGTTTTCTCACGCGCACTGAACTCACAATGAAACTATTGCGATTGTACAGTTACACCTTCAAAGCATAAGGAAGACTGATTAGTCTAATTACCGTATATTGAATTATTGAAAAGAAATTGTCACTAATTATTGTTACCATTTTTATTGTAATTATATGTAAAATTAGCCAACACGAGCTTAAAATACAAAAAAGAAAAAAAAAAAAAAAAAAAAAAAAAAAAAAAACACAACAACACAAAAGATTACTTATGAGGTAGAGGTATGCAATAATAATGACCTTTCTTTCCACAGGTTTTTAGACAATGATTTGCTAAATTTATCAATTTCCACAATAATTTCCTTTTTATATAATTCATTTTCATTGCCAAGAATAAAACATACCTTTTCTGTAATATTTAAAGAGTTAAATTTATCCCAAACCTGGTGAAAGTTTAGTGATTTATTATTATTTAGTGGAGATTATTCTTAAAGTGTAATATTTCCATCCTTCTAATATTTTCAAGAACTGGACATACAAGCAGAAAATGATCAATGTCTTCAATGGAATTATCATTGCACACCTTACCAATTCCAGTGTCACTCTGATCATTAGACCATTTTTTAGTTCGCTGTTGGAGAGAGAGGGTATTTGAACGGAGCATAAATTTGATTGATGCTCCTTCAAAATCAGTACCGTCAAGAAGGTACTCCTCCATATTTTGTGACTTTTTAATTAATGAGTATCTTTACAATAGAAGGTTTGCTTTTAATATCATCTTTCCAGCAATTTAACAAATTTTGTTTTAGAGCATGTTCAGCTGCCCATATAAGTTGACGTGAGGCCGTGTTGACTGGGGCCGATCAGGTGGTTTAATTGGTCAGTAATTGGATTGGTAGGCTTGTGTTTTTTTGTTGTTTTTTTTAGCAAAGAATAATTAAGGTATATCTCGTATACCTCATTCAGTTTTAAATGCGCTGTTTATGCATTACACTGCTTATTATGAATATTGTGTGTTTGCACTTAACGTTAAATAAAGGTTGTATCATTGATGTAATAACGAATTGCCATAGTGTCAATGAATCTCCAGAGAAGCTATTCTAAATTTCCGGCTCTGTATATTTATTATTATTATATTCGAAATAACGAATTACTAACTCGAAATAACGAATTAATAATCCGAAATAACGAATTACTAACTCGAAATAACGAATTACTAATTCGAAATTTCGGACTAGTAATCCGAAATAACGAATTACTAATTCGAAATAACGAATTACTAATTCGAAATAACGGATTACTAATCCGAAATTTCGGATTACATTTTGATGATTTTATATACTTAAAGGCAGGCTCAGGTCGACACGGAACTGAAAGGAACTCAACTCAACTCAACTCAACTCAACTCGTCGACATGAGCGCTCCGCGCAACTGAAAGGAACTGAACGCAACTGAAAGGAACTGAACTCATGTCGACTTCGAGCAACTGAAAGGAACTGAAAGGAACTGAAAGGAACTTGGCTCATGTCGACTGGCAACTGAAAGGAACTATTGGCTAAAAACATTTTCCCCGCGAAATCCCATCAACTGCAAAATGTCTGTAATGTTTTTATTAAGACATGTAATTATTTTAAAAAGTGTATCTACTTTATTTTGTTGTTTTGAAAATGTCGACCGGCAACTGAAACGAATGGTGCCTGTTTGTAGTCGACAGAATTGAGTTTTTAAAGATTTCATTTTCTTCGAAATCTCATCAACTGCAAATAAATGTTTGAATGCTTGTAAGATTAGACGTGTGGTTAAAAATAATAAAATTATTTTTGAAGTTTATCTACACTTTTTTTTTAATTTAGAAAAGTGTATCGCATATTGGTCTATTTGAAATGGGTTCATGCAAAATCCGGTGGAACAATTAAAACAAGAAAGGTCTTTTTCTATATGAAAAAACAAAAACAAAAACAACAAGTATACACGAATGCATTTTATACGTGAAAATGTTTACATGAATCAGCTGTCAAATATGTTATAAAAATGTATTAATTTAATATTACGCGATTGCAGCAGCATACTTTTGATAGAATTCATAATTTAACACTACACTGCAGAGGGACTTTCTGAAAAAGGAATTTAGCTTTTCTTGACCTAAACCTAGACCCTAGATAAATGTTATACTGTTAAAAAAATTGTACAAAACGAACATCAAAAACAATGCACACTCCTAAGAATTACTGGATTATTTATAATTCGTAAAAATGGATTTTAGAAGTGAGATCTGCATGCCAGTTAGTTGTCAAGTCTTTACTCGTCATACATAGAGTTAGACGTAGGCTAGTAGGCATGGCATAGGAAGCCTGCCTTTTTTCTACACTTTAGGCATAGCCTAGGCTAGCTAGAATATGGTAAGTATATGCTGTATTATTATTATTATTATTATTATTATTATTATTATTATTATTATTATTATTATTATTATAATATACGCCTATGGCGTATATTTTTTAAAACAAAGAATAAAGTAATCTGCCATTAACAAAACATTGTAATATAATATCTTTTTTCATTTAATGCATCTTGATTACGATTAATATCAGGATCAACGTTTTCAGTTCCTTTGAG